GGCGGGGGCTTCGCGCCGGGCGCCGACCCCTTCCCGGGCCTCTTCCCGCGCAAGCCGGCGCCGCTGCCCAGCCCCGGGCTCAACAGCGCGGCCAAGCGCATCAAGGTGGAGAAGGACCTGGAGCTGCCGCCCGCCGCGCTCATCCCGTCCGAGAACGTGTACTCGCAGTGGCTCGTGGGCTACGCGGCGTCGCGGCACTTCATGAAGGACCCCTTCCTGGGCTTCACGGACGCGCGCCAGTCGCCCTTCGCCACGTCGTCCGAGCACTCGTCCGAGAACGGCAGCCTTCGCTTCTCCACGCCGCCTGGGGACCTGCTGGACGGCGGCCTGTCGGGCCGCAGCGGCACGGCCAGCGGCGGCAGCACGCCGCACCTGGGCGGCCCGGGCCCCGGGCGGCCGAGCTCCAAGGAGGGCCGCCGCAGCGACACGTGCGAGTACTGCGGCAAGGTGTTCAAGAACTGCAGCAACCTCACGGTGCACCGGCGGAGCCACACCGGCGAGCGGCCTTACAAGTGCGAGCTGTGCAACTACGCGTGCGCGCAGAGCAGCAAGCTCACGCGCCACATGAAGACGCACGGGCAGATCGGCAAGGAGGTGTACCGCTGCGACATCTGCCAGATGCCCTTCAGCGTCTACAGCACCCTGGAGAAACACATGAAAAAGTGGCACGGCGAGCACTTGCTGACTAACGACGTCAAAATCGAGCAGGCCGAGAGGAGCTAAGCGCGCGCGCGCGGGCCCGGGCACCCCGCACCTGTACAGTGGAACCGTTGCCAACCGAGAGAATGCTGACCTGACACTTGCCTCCGTGTCACCGCCACTTAGCACCCCGCGGGTCCCCGGGGCCCAGGGGAGGCAGCGCTCCAACCTAACCTGTGTCTGCGAAGTCCTATGGAAACCCGAGGGTTGATTAAGGCAGTCAAAATTGTGGAGCCTTTTAACTGTGCAATAATTTCTGTATTTATTGGGTTTTGTATTTTTTTTTTTTTTTTTGGCATGTGCAGGTACTTTTTATTATTATTCTTTCTGTTTAAATTCCTTTAAAAGATTTTGTTGGGTATCCATCCCTTCTTCAGTTGTGTTTTTTTTTTTAAACCCAGTAGCAGCCTGAGCAATGACTCCTGAGCAATGTAGAGGGGAAGCATATCTTTTAAATTATAATTTGGGGGGGAGGGCACTGCTTTTTTGAAATTTAAGCTAAGCATGTGTAATTTCTTGTGAAGAAGCCAACACTTAAATGACTTTTAAAGTTGTTTACTTTTTTATTCCTTTTTTTTTTTTTTGGTCCTGAGATAAAAAGTGGCATGCGTGGTTTTTTTCTTGGGGGGGGGGTGTGTACAGCGGATAACAATCTTTAAAGTTGTAGCACTTTGTTTCAGAATTGGAATGGAGATGTAGCACTGACATGTCCTGAGTAACAGAGGCCTTTTCTGTGTTAACTTCAACCTTTACATTATATAAGGGAAACTTGGAGTGGTGGGGGAGAGGCTCCCTGAAAACTCAGCACTGCCAGAGAACTAGGAGCCTTTGAGAGCTGCCCTGGGACATGGCCCAAGAGCATTCTAAAATTGTACATTACCAGCAGAAACTGTCCTTTCCTTGGAATGTTGGTGTGCCCTGCAATGCCATCTTTGTTTGGCATTTGCTGTAGATTAGGCTAAATAAAATGGGCTGAGGGTACTTTTTTTGGGTAGATGGTGGTGGCCTGCAGTGACACAGAAAGGAAGAAACCAGCGGTGTTCTTTGGGCTTCTTCTGGCTTGACGGCTTCTCTCTCTCTCTTTGTTGCCCCCACCACAAAAATCCCTGGTCACATGTTGCTACCAGTGATAATTGATCATGTCTCAAGCAGACAAGTGCCCTGATGGAGAAGGGAGAGAAGTTATTGTTCTCTCCTTTAATGCACACTGATGACATTGTACGGACGGGGGGAAAAATCTTGCAAATTTCTGTTCCCTTTTACTGTAAAAGCAGGGAAAGAGTTCCATCCGAAGGTGCCCAGCGCTACTTCCCAATTTTTTTTCTATCCCATTAGGTTGGAAGGTACTAAACATTGGACTGTTAAGATTAGACTTTTGAATTCTGTTGACCCGCACTTTAAAGCTTTTGTTTGCATTTAAATTAAATGGCTTCTAAACAAGAAATTGCAGCATATTCTTCTCTTTGGCCCAGAAGTGGGTTAAACTGTAAGGGACGGCTGAGATTGAGTGTCAGTGTTGCTAAGCGTGGCATTCACAATACTGGCACTATAAAGAACAAAATAAAATAATAATTTATTGGACAGTTTTTCTACTGCCATTCAATTTGATCTGAGTGCCTTGAAAACTGATCTTCCTATTTGAGTCTCTTGAGACAAATGCAAAACTTTTTTTTTTTGACATGAAAAGACTTTTTTAAAAAGTAAAACAAGAAAAGTACAGTCTTTAGAAACAAACAAAGCCACACTTACTTTAAATAAATTTTAAAAAATTCTGGTTGAAGATAGAGGACATGGAAATGCCATAAGACCCAATTAAATGAAGAAATAAACCCAGCACAACCTTGGACATCCATTAGCTGAATTATCCTCAGCCCCTTTTGTTTGTGGGACAACGCTGCTTAGATATGGAGTGGAGGTGATTTACTGCTGAATTAAAACTCAAGTGACACAAGTTACAAGTTGATATCGTTGAATGAAAAACAAAACAGAAACGATTCAGGAACAACGGCTAATTTTTTCTAAAGTTAAATTTAGTGCACTCTGTCTTAAAAATACGTTTACAGTATTGGATACATACAAGGGTAAAAAAAATTGTGTGTATGTGTGTTGGAGCGATCATTTTTTTTCAAAGTTTGCTTAATAGGTTATAAAAAAATGCCACAGTGGCTGCGTGTATATTGTTTTCTTTTGGTGATGGGGTTTTAGTATATATTATATATATTAAAATTTCTTGATTACTGTAAAAGTGGACCAGTATTTGTAATAATCAAGAATGCCTGGGCATTTTACAAAACAAGAAAAAAAAAAACCCTTTTCTTTTCCTTGAAAATGTTGCAGTAAAATTTAAATGGTGGGTCTATAAATTTGTTCTTGTCACAGTAACTGTAAAGTCGGAGTTTTAGTAAATTTTTTTCTGCCTTGGGTGTTGAATTTTTATTTCAAAAAAAAATGTATAGAAACTTGTATTTGGGGATTAAAAGGGGATTGCTACACCATGTAGAAAAAGTATGTAGAAAAAAAGTGCTTAATATTGTTATTGCTTTGCAGAAAAAAAAAATCACATTTCTGACCTGTACTTATTTTTCTCTTCCCACCTCCCTCTGGAATGGATATATTGGTTGGTTAATATGATGTAGGCACTTGCTGTATTTTTACTGAAGCTTGTAATTTTTTAACTGTAAGCTTGTCCTTTTAAAGGGATTTAATGTACCTTTTTGTTAGTGAATTTGGAAATAAAAAGAAAAAAAAAACAAAAACAAACAGGCTGCCATAATATATTTTTTTAATTTGGCAGGATAAAATATTGCAAAAAAAAAATTTGTATGTTAAGTCCTATTGTACAGGAGAAAAAAAAGGTTGTTTGACAACCTTTGGGGAAAAGAAACAAAAGGAAGTAGTTAAATGCTTTGGTTCACAAATCATTTTAGTTGTATATATTTTTGTCGGAATTGGCCTCTACAAAGGACCGTTGGAGGAGGGCTTCGTTCCGAACGCCCCGAACCTTGCATCAAGGCTCCCTGGTATGGCCACAACAGACCAGATGGGAAATTCTTTTATTCGTGTTGAGTGGAAGAATTAGTTTTTGTAACGATGTCGGTAACATTTCAGAGTCCTCCCTTTCTCTAAGAGGCCATCTGTAAGATGTCAGGTGTGGAGGAGAGAGAGGGAGAGAGCATCTTCCTCCTCTACTGTCGCCACCTCTCCTGCCCTTAAGAGCAGAGAGAAATGCAAACCGAGCTTTCTTTAGTCCTTGAGAAAACATTAAACAAACAAAAAATGTCATAAAAGGAGCTGGCCTGTCAGCTAGGCACAGGTGACGCGATCTTCTACTGAGACCGGCGAAAATCGGATGTCAGGAAGGAGTCCCCATCACAACCACGACCTTTCATTCCATGGAGAGTGTTGGCCTCTTGTCTTTCTTACCTGCTTTGCTGCCTTTCTCTCCAAAACCTACATTCCGTCAGTTTCCGAATGCCTAGGGCCTGGGATGAATTCGGTGCCTTTCCATATCTCTTTCTCTCTCCTTCCTCTGCATTTCCCCTCTGTCCTCCAGCTTCTGTCCATCCTTTATTTGTTTTCATTTTTATTTCTTTCTCCCTCTCTGTCCCTCCGCTCCTCTTCCTTTTTTTTTTTTTTTTTTTTGTAAAGCCAAGTAGCTTTAAGATAATAAAGTGGTGGTTTTTTGGATGAGGGAATAATACATTTTTAAAAAATACCTATATCAGGAAGCCATTTTTTATTTCAGGAACTATAAGAAACCATTATTTCAGGTTATGAAAGTATAACCAAGCATCCTTTTGGGCAATTCTTGACCAAATGCAGGAATCTTGATTCTGGGAGCTTTTCTGTTGAACACGCTCTTTCCTCCTTGCCACTTGTCTTTGCAAAGTGAAAAGAAAGAGGGAGGGAGTGGGAGATTAAGCTGAGATGTCAGTTGTCTACCTGCTTGATCTGAAGACCCAGGGCTGCCCTGTTAAGGTACTTGAGAGCCTCCAAGGTGGTCCTCCTGTAGTTACAACAGCGAGCCAGCTCTCACCAGCTTCCGCAAAGTCACCAGAATGCCAGGACTAAGCCATCCTAAAGCACAAAGATTGTGTCTCTGCCGACTGCAGAGAAAAGAGAATTTTGCTTCTCTTTCATGTTTAAAAAGCCAACACTGAAGCAGATGACCCAGTGAGAGAGGCTCCCGCGCATGGGTGACCCCGCCGACCTCAGGCCGGTTTCCACACTGCCACAACTTTGTTCAAAGTTGCCCCAAATTGGAACCTGCCACTTGCCATTAGAGGGTCTTTCATGGGGAGAGGAGGAGGCTGAATTACTTTAAGCAAAATGTGAAAAGGAAGTCAGCCTTTCATCCTGGTCCTAAGTGACAGTCAGTCGAAGGTTCTGTTGAACACAGGCAAATCCGAGATTTTGGTGCTCTTTGTATCTTAGCCCTGCAAAGCAAAGTTACATTGATTTAAGTTGTTTGCATTTGTACTGGCAAGGAGAAATATTTTTATTACCTTTTCTATTACTTATTGTATGAGCTTTTGTTGTTTACTTGGAGGTTCTGTCTTTTACTACAAGTTTGGAACTATTTATTATTGCTTGGTATTTGTGATCCGTTTCAAAAACGGGCACTTTTTTTTTTATTGTGGATAAAATGTTGAGATGACAGGAGGTCATTTCAATATGGCTTAGTAAAATATTTATTGTTCCTTTTATTCTCTGTACAAGATTTTGGGCCTCTTTTTTCCCTTAATGTCACAATGTTGAGTTCAGCATGTGTCTGCCATTTCATTTGTACGCTTGTTCAAAACCAAGTTTGTTCTGGTTTCAAGTTATAAAAATAAATTGGACATTTAACTTGATCTCCAAACCTTGTCCTTTTCTGTGTCTTTTAAGCTTGGGGGATGGACAGCTTATTTCCAAGGGTGAATTGAAGGTCTTTCTCCATTTTCCATCTGACCCAAACCCTTGCGCCCATATCTGAGAAGACAGGAAAAATAATGAAAGACTAGTAGTTCTCTTCATTTACCCCTGTGAAGCAGTGTGATTTAGAACAGGGGTTCTCAGTGCTGTTTGCACATTGGAACCACTTGGGAGCTTTTAAAAATCCCAGGCCCTACCCCAGACCAGTTCTTTCACAATCTTTGGAGGTAGGATCTGGGCATCAGTATTTCAAAGTGATCCAAGTGATTCTTATATACAGTCAAGTCTGAGAATAAGTCGTATAGAAGAAAAAGTACTTGTTTGGGAAAGGCAAGTCTCGGGTCTAGTTTAATTCAGCTAACATTTCCTGAATACCCAGTGAGAGCCATTGGGTGAAGCATTGAGGTATCAGAAATGAGTGAGACAGAGGCCCTACTGCAAGCCTCTGAAGGGCTCCGTGCCCTTGGCCAGGTCCAGTTGGATTTCCCATGCATGAAGTGAGGTCGTTGGACTAGATAGCCTCTCTGACCATCATGAGTGTTAACAAAATCATGCAGGAGGACCACCTTCCCTTCCCATGTGCTAGATGTCTACAGATTTGAGGAAATGTTCTCTGGGGTAATCTCACAGATCCAGAGAAGGAAGCAAGGTCTTTCAGAAGGAAATAGCCTTTAACTTGGCTTTTCACAGTGTTGGGCCCAGAGCAGCTGACAAGGCTTCCTTGGAAGCCTTGGAAGGAGATGGAAGAAGGTAGTGTTCTGTTGGGTTTCAGCCACTCAGACACACAGGAACCTTTGGTTTCCTCCTTGTGAGTGAGAGTCAGAGCCCACCCATGAATGAAAAGCGATCAAAGACCCACTGGGTTCTTGACCACTCTTCTTATGTTTCCTGCTCTTAAAGGCACAAAGAACATTCCACTCAAGTCACTTTCTGCAAACTCATCAGACACCAACCATGAACCAGGTACCAGGCTAGGCAGCCCAAGAATCTTCGCAAGGAGACTGCAAAAATGACAACACCAAGCCATGCCTACTAAGATGCTTTGTGGGGTCTGCCCACAGAGATGATAGGAGAAGCAAGGGTAGTATGTTCCTCTGTGTTCTGTCTTCACCCCAAACAGTCACCATTCTGCCAAGGTCATGTCTAACCACTGGAGGAAAAGAAGTGGGATTTGAATTTCAATACCAAAAATGGAGTTAGTAGCCATTCAGGAGAAGACCTGCCCTGCTTTCCAGGGGCTTAAGGAATAAGAATTCCCAGGGAGGAATTTTCTTCTTCTTTTCCACAGGTCTTGGGCCCCAAGTCTTTCCCC